GGGGCGGGGCAGCAGAGGGCGTGGGGTCAGTGGAGGGGCGGGGGCCGCGGAGGGGGCGGGAGCAGTGGAGGGCGGAGGGGTATGGAAGGCAGAATTCTGTAGTAGAATTGCTGATGGACATGGGGTATGCAGGTGGTCAAGGATGACTGGGTTTTTGGCCTGAGCACCTGGAGGGATGGAGTTGACATCAGATGGGGTGGGGAAGGGAACAGGAGCAAATTCCGGGGGTGGGAGAGGAGTAATTATTCATTCATTTAGGAAACCCACATCATCCTCTTTTGCCAGCAGGATTTCTGGGCAATGGAGGGCCTTCACCCAAGCCAGGTAGCAACACAGGCAGCATCAGCTGGCACTTGTACCCACGGAAACAGGCCCCTGATGCTACCCACTGGTTTACAAGATCATAGGGCCTGATCGAGTCCCAAGCTCAGGTCTGCAAGCAACACTGCCTTTCCTTATTTTCTCCAACCTGCTTAATTTCACCTCCAGTCCCCATCCTGGACTAGTGCAAGGGTCCTGCTCTCTGCAGGACACTAGACACCCAGCAGAGTTTGGCCCAGGCACCAGTGAGACACTGCTCATCCACCCTGCCCTCCAGCCCAGGTGGCCCCCACAGTTTCTGTTCCTGCCTGAGATGCAGGGATCCTGGTGAAGATGGGCCCTCCCCAGCACACCCACTGCACAGCCATCCCCTTGGAGGCCAGGCCACCTCCCAGGGCAGGACCGGGAGGCGAGGCCGCTTCCTAGGAACCACAAACCTCAGCCCCTGCTCACTCTTGCGGTCCCTGCTTCCCTGCTGGCAGCTTCTCAAATGCCCTCGTCCTTCCCCACCCACAGACACCTGGCATTATTGCATCTGTGGGTTTAGGCTTTCGTGAGAGAAAGGAAGAACCCCAGACTTCAGGCAAATAAGCAAGATGCTTGCTGGAAATGAGAGGAAGGGAACAAATAATAGTCACAAACCCTTAAAAAGAGCTTGCTGTGTTCCAAGTACCATTCTAAGGGCTTTGCATACTCAGTGTGAATTCATTTAACCCTTACCTCATCCCATAAGGCAGGTGCTATACTATCCTTATTTTACAGATGAGAAAACTGAGGCACAGAGAGGTTAAGTAACTTGACCAAAGTCACACAGCCAGTAAGTGGCAGAGCTGGGATTCAGATCCAGCCATTCTACTCCACATACATGCTCATATCCATACTGCTTTCTACAGGGAAAGCAAGTGCAAATGAACAGTTGAGTAAATGGTCCCAGAACTCAGGTCATTCACTCATTCATTCACTGAGCCCCTACTCTGCCAGTCCCTGGGGCCACAGAATGGAAGATGCAGACAGTCTTGTCCCTTGCCTTAGCTGGTGTGGGGTGGCTTGGAGCCCAGAAGGCCTCGCCAAAGCCTTTGACTCTCATCCTCCAGCGACACTGAGTGGAGCAAAGCCCATGACCTTGAGCAAGTCACAGCCCCTCTTTTGTCCTCAGGGCCCTGATGTGTAGATCAAGCTCTCTCCTGGTGCTAATGTTTTTGATGCTCTTTGATGATATTTTCTTACTTCTAAAAAGAGCCAGCCCACTCGGCAGGAGCCTCTGCGTGGCTCCTCGGGGATTGGCGCAATGTCTGCTGCCCAGGGGGTGGCAGATCCGGGTGGCAGGTGTTTCAGGTGGGGAAGAAGGTAGCAGCCCCTCGTCCCTCAAGTGCTCCAGCTGCCATTCGCTAAATCCTGCCCTGCCGAGGCTCTCCTTGATATTATGTTAACCCAGTTTTGCCATGATGCAAATACCAGGGCATGGAGGGGTGCAGCGAGGTAATTTTCCCGGAGTTCCAAGGCCCTTCAGGGCTGCAGGCCCCCGTGGAGGCTGCCAGGCAACCATCACTCCCGCAGGACGGGATCACTGGGAGACAGCCAAGGCCTCAAGCAAAGGGGCTTAACTTGTTCTGCAGAGTTCTGGCGGGCAGAGCCAGGGCTGACGTGGGTACGTCAGGGAGGGGGATGGTTAGAGGGAGGCAGGGGTTAACACAGAGTAGAGCAGCCACGAAGAGGTGAGTTGCCAGAACCTGGAGGTGTTGGAGCAGATGCTGGATAGTCTGCGGGTCAGCCACGCCCTTGGGTCTGCCACTGGGCATCTGAGGCTGGTCTGCGTTCAGCCCCTAACAGCAGGGCCTGGGGGCCCCTCATGCCTGATGTGTGCCTTTCCCAGCCTGCCCTTGGGCCCCTCACCTCAGGGCTTCAGGTGGCAGGCGCTCACCACCCTGGCTGCCCTACGGAGGTTTTGAGGAAAGGACCATGTTAGCCTGGGCACAGGACACTCTCCACGGTTCCCTCCACGCCCCTGGGTCTGTAGATTTGGAGGCAGAGCTGTACCCCAGCTGTAGAGAAGACCCCTGAGACCACGTTTAGTGACAGTATTATTACCGACAATAACTAATATTTGTATAGTGCTTTCTAATTTACTTGTGTGGTCCCCTAGAAATGCATTTCAAGATCAAAATCAAAGATCAAGATCAAAGACAATGTTTAACTCACATACTGTTTTCTTCTCCCCCTCGCCCCAAATCTAGTGTAGGCTGTCAGAGAGAACCGTCTAAAACTTGCATCTGACCGTGTCACTGCTGAAAAGCACTCAGGGACGCCCCACTGTCCTCGGGTTGATAGACCCTGCTGTACTCTCTCCCCCGCCTCATCTCCCCACTGCTCCTATGACATGTCACACTCGGGTCCCATACTGTCCTCTGAATGGGCAGAGCTCGTTCCTCTCAGATACTCCCCCACCCTGGGACACCTTGACAATCTGACAAACTCCTATTCCTCCTTCAAAACCCTCCCTCTGTTAAGCTCCCCCAGCCTATCTCCCCCTTTCCCCTACCCCCTCTGTAATCGGGTGTATTTTGTCCACACTTGTGTGACTTTTCTCCTGCCCACTTGTAATCACTCATTTGCATGTCTGCCTTCTGGCTGACTCAGAGCCCCCCAATGACTGGGTCTTACAGCCCTTGAGGTCCATGGTTACTAACACAGATTCCCAATGCACGTTCATTGAGTGACTGTTAAATTGGCCACCACAGAGCCAGTACTAGGCGTCTCATAAGAGGAGTACACCTAGAACTTGGGGCAATAACTAGTCTAACTGCCCAGCTGCCCTTAAGAACAACAGCACCAGCCATTTATTAATCACCTACTGTGTGCCAGTCACCTGCTACTCATTTCACAAACCTCATCTTTTTAGTCCTTGCAATAACACAAGAGACAGTGGTGCCATTAGCCAGGGAAGGGGCTGCCCAGGGTCTCGTTAACTGCCCCACCGTGGCAGTGTCGGCATCAGAATCCAGGCCTGGGGACTGTGAGGCCATTCTCCCCACCCCAACAGGCGGCCCCTTCCACATCCTGCCTCCTCCTTCTCTGGGTTTGGCTGGTGGTCAGCACCACCCTCTTCCCACCCCCCGCCCACCCTTGGGGCCTAGAGGGGGGCCAATGCTGCAGCCTCGCTGGTCCTCCTGCCTCTGGGTCCTTCAGCGTCTAACCTGCAACCTAGAGGAAAGGAGAGCCCACATGTGAACGCCACTGCTCCATCCCCTGTTAACAAACACTTCCCTTGTGGTGCTCAAGGTGGCCAACTTGATTAGCTGTGGACAGGGGAGGGTTGCTAGGGGAACGGAGATTGTTAAGTCTACGTTCCAGGTAGCCGTGCGTGACACTGGTCACTGCGGAGCCCTACGTATAGCACTGTGGTTCGGTGGGTTGGCTGTTGAAGGTGGCCAGGATCCAGATCCTCACGCAGGTTCCTCGCCATCCATGGCTCCCTTGCCCACCTCACCCCACCCCTTCCCAGCGTCACTGTAGAGAGGAAATATTAGAGGAAAAAAACAAGAGATTTTGCAAGCAAATGTGGTATGCGTGTGTAATCATCCAAACTCTGACTTGTGACATTAACTGCCTGATCTTACCAAACGTAGAAAGGAATGACTAATGAAGTATATTTGAAAAACAAACAACTTGCCACAAGGAGATGACTTATGTAGTGGCAGTTGTTAACACTGCGAAGGTGTGAGTAAGACTTTGCTGGGCTCAGTTACACAGGAGACCTCTCTGCCCTCTGCAGCGTAATATCTGCCGCACCTTTCTAGCTAATCCTGACTTGCAGGGTACACAAGCAAAATCGTAGGATTTGAGACATGACTTCATCCACCTCTCAGTGGAGAAATGGAGGCCCAGAGCCAAAGTTGCCCAGAGCCACCCACAACTAGTGGTCAGGATGAGCCCTGGGACCCCAGACTCCTGGTCCTTTTGTAGCTTGAAGACACCCAAGTGAGCCAGCCCATCCTAAAATAGAACAGAGGCAATCATCTTTCTCAAATTGCAGGAAAAGTACCCAATGGATGGCATTTCCTCAGTTTCTTTAAACTTTCTTAAGCTTTTCAGCCATTTTTGCTCAGCCCACTAGATTCATTTTTAATATTGTATCTGGTAACTGGGCTTGGGTTATTTTTTTCCTGCTGAAATAGTTTATCAAAAACCTGTATGAGTCATTCTGTTTTGCAAAGCAGAGACCTGCCTACTAAAGCATAGTGGCATTTTCTAATGGAAATCCTGCTCCTTGTTTTGCTGGTAGAATTAAAGTACCAGCATTTCGTGGTGTTTCTCAGACAACGCCTTGACTTCCAGGAACTCTGCTACCTGGTCTAGTTGGGAAACGGTGGTTCTAATGGAAGGACCTTGATAAAAGTCTTCCTCAGTATGTGCTGGACAAGTGAGTGTTGGCCGGGTGAGGCGGGGCTCAGCTGCAAGGGCACTCCAGGTGGGGAGGGAGGGGTAGAAATCTCTGGCCCTGCAGGGGCTCCCCGATTCGTGCATCCGTGGGGCTTGATGGGGGACCCCAGAGCTCTGTGAGGGCAGGTATCCTTGCTCTCTGCAGCCCAAGGCCCAGCACACAGTAGGTGCTTCATAAATGCTCACTGGTCCGCTTGGGGAATGGATGTCAGTCTCTGTTGCCGACAAGGGTTGATCCAAAGCTGCATGCCTCAAATAGACGTCAGGAGCTTGGAGGGAATATGGGAGCTGGGGGCTCTGAGTCAGGAAATGTTGAGGGGTTTCATGTCTGTGTGTTCTGAATGTGAGCCAGTGACAGGGGCAGCTTGGGGGACCAGGAAGGCAAAGGGTCCAGGATGAGACAGGCTGGAAGGGGAGGCAGGCCGCAGAGGCCTGAGCCCATCTGCTGAAGAGATTCCAAGCTAGGAGAGCTCCTCCCTCCTTTCTGGGATTCGGGGACCAGTAAACCATGTGAGGTGGTCATGTTTGAAGAGTCTCTACTGTTGTTGACTTCTCTGACTCCTTACTCTCGGCTCATGTGACTGTTCTGGTTGACTGGCCCCGGGGGGATTTGTGAAAGCCACGGGGAGGGAGCCCATGTCTTGGGAGCCAGACTGCCCGGGTCCTAATCCCAGCTCTGCCATTGGCTAGCATCTGTGACCATGGGAAAGTGACTTGATCCTTGTGCCTCATTTCCCTCGTCTGTTAAAATGGGGATAATAGTGATCTCTGCCTCATGGGGTTGTTGTGAGAATTAGACAAGCTGATACCTGGCAAGCAGGCTTAGAACAGAGCCTGGCACAGGTTCCATGTGGTGGAGGTGTCAGTGGTCACTGTGTCTCTCCCGTCCTAAGGTCCTCGCCCACCCCCATTCCAGGGCACCGACCTTTGCCACAGTGGTCATGGTTCTCCTTCCATCCACACCAGGTCTTGGCCAACAAGAGTCACCTCTGGGTCGAGGAGGAGGTCTGGCGGATGGAGATATACGTCTCCCTGGGAGTGCTGGCCCTCGGCACGCTGTCCTTGCTAGCCGTCACCTCACTGCCGTCCATTGCAAACTCGCTCAACTGGAGGGAGTTCAGCTTCGTGCAGGTAACTCGGTCTGCCCCTGCCAGCGAGCCTCCGCTCGGCCCTGGCCCTGCCTCGTGTGCACGCAGCTTCCCCTCTGCAAACCACCTCGGCTTTCCTAATGGGCACAACGGGGCTGCGCAGTCAGACACTGGGGCCTTCCCGAGCCTTGAGGGCTGATCCAGATAAAGGGGCCGCCTGGGACAAGCTCGTTCTCATGACATCTGGGGAAGCCAGACATAGGAATGTGAAAAACTTAGACAATAGAACGCTGAACCCTGGGCTAAACAGTCTCAGTTTCTACAATTCTTGAGCTTCACAAACAAAATTCCGTGACGTGCAGTCATGGGCATCTCATTGATCTAGCTGGGAGTCAGGGAGCCAGTGAGGGAGCCTAGCCAACCCCCCAGCACCCTCATCTCAGCCCGGCCCTATCCTTCCCTTTAACCCCTTGATTCGTGCAGGGTGGATGGGAGGTGAGCATTAGGATCACCAGTTTATGGGGGATAAAACACAGCATTTCCCAAAGGACACCATTTCTATGAAAAATCCAGAGAAAAGGAGGCCTGTAGTCAAATGAACTTGAGAAAGAGACTCACAGTGCACTTTGGCACATCAAAGATTCTAATAATGTCTACAACAAACAAACCTTGTTACCCAGACTTATTGAGCATTAGCGCCCTCCCTCTACTTTGTTTCTCGGGTACACTCCACAGAACACACTTTGGGAAATGCTATTGGTGGCAAAGTTTCTTTGTGCATTTATTCATTCAATAAATGTTTATTGAGCACCTACTGCATGCCAGGCATCGTGCTAGGCCTGGGATGTGATAGGGAACAAGACAGGCACAGCCACATTTTGATTATAAGGACAACTGAGACAGGGACATTTGTTACATTTCTTCGGCATCTCCCACTGTTCCCCATGCAGAGTACGTGGTCAGCTCCCAAGTGTTGGCGGATTAACTCGTCCCCTCCCGGGGATGGGTGCTGACTAATCCTGGATTCCGCCATCCATATTGTATCAGGGCAGAGAACAGTTATCATATCCACCCCCATTGTTAACAAAAATCTGTCACACATCTTCTCTGTGCAGCGAGGGCACAGCACAGGATTCAAAGAGAGACACCGACAGTGCAGTGCTCTTATGTAATCCAAATTAATTGTTGCTGACTGGGGATACCTACGTACCCTAGAACAAAACAGAGCTGTGGCGGTTTTTTTTTTAAAGTGTGTCTCTTGCTGAATCTCACTGGCTCTGCTCATCTCGAAAGGTCTCTGGAGGAGTGTTCATAGCTGACACACGCTGGCACAAGAGGGGGAGAAAAGAATTTTATTTATTTGCCACTAATCTTCATGTGTTGCACACCCAAATCTAGGATTTTCCTGTCCCTGCCTGGTGTATCCCAGGATGCCTGGTTTATCCACAATTAAAACAGACTGCAGGTTGCCCCCCTCACCACAAAGTAGCTCCCTTAAGCAGCTGTAGATTACCAGCCCCGGCTCTGGCGGCGGGGAAAGCCGGAGGATTTGATTCTGTGAGCAAAGGCTGACTGGGACCTCAGCAACCGCGCTCTGCTTTACATACTGAAGAGTCAAAAAACAAATATGAAAGTCTTCTGCCGCTGCGGAGCAGGGGGGTGGAAGGCTGAGAGGGCGGTGGAAAGGCAGGGTGTTACTTGTGAAACTCAAATGCCCACATTCTGTCCACAAAAACAAATGCTGTCTCCTGACAGTGCTGATACAAAGGAGAAGGGACTGTCAGCGCCCGGAGCCTGGGTTCCAGCTCTCCCTGCCCCCGTCCCAGCTCTGTAATCACGGGAAGATCATATCCACTCCCCGAGCCTCACTTTACACTCCTGTAACATGGAGTTAATGCCCCACAGAGGTGTGTGAGCCACTGTGAGAGATGATTATGTGTGAAAGAAAAATAAAAAACATATTGCTATGATTCTTAGGGTATGTGGCCACATCTCCATTGTCTCTGACAAAGCTACCAACCACCCTCTTCTGAGTTCATTGGGAGGCAGAGAGAGAGACACCAAGAGACTCCAGCCCTGAGCAGCAGAATGGTCCAGGGCAATGTCTGCAAACTGCAGTTGACACTCATTGGTGGGTCATGACATCAATTTAGTGGGTCCCCACCAGCTTTTAAAAAATGAAATAGAATAGAATGTCAAAAAAAAGTCAGAGTGCTCTACATGTTCTAAGCATAGATATTTTTTGAGTTGTATTGATTCAAGCAGTTATATATACATATGTGGTATACCTGGTTGTGTACTGGGCAGTAATGAAAAATCTGATTCTTAGGGTGAGCCACCATCAAAAAGTTTGAAGTCACAGAGCTCTCTTGGAGAAATACAGATACACAGGCCCACCCCTGACCTATGGACTCAGATGCCCACAGATGGCTCTGGAAGTCTGTTTTTGCAAGCTCCTTGGCTGACTTAGGCACACATGGTGCAGTGTGTGGCAACCTCTGGAGTGGGGGACACAAGGTTGTGGAGCCAGCAGACCTGGGTCTCAGTCTCAAGACCACCACTTACCAGCCCTGCACCATTAGACAGTTTCCTAGCCTCTCAGAGCATCTGTGTCCTCACTTACATCTGTGTCCACCTCCTGCGGTCATCGGGAGGATTTGATTTGAGGACATGTACAATGCACAATACATGCATCCAGGAGTGGCTGTGTGATTTTTGAGGTAAGCTGCAACCTTCTCCTGTAAGGTTAGCACTGCCAGTGAGGAGCTTCCCAGACCCCATCTCCTCCCCCTGCCAGGCACGCCCGCAGCAGGTCACCAGGGCGTAGAAACCTGCTGCAGAGATGTGGTTCTCAGTGGGCCTGGCTTGATCCCTGGGTCACAATGAATTATTAGCTAAAAGCCGTCAAAACAGTGTGATTCCACAAAGGTCATTTGTGCTTACGTTTCTCCTTTTGTTCCTGAGGCTGTTTTCAAAGTTTTTAACTTTGATTTTTGTTTGTCTGGGTGTTTTTGTTGTTATTGGTTTGGTTTGGGCTGTGCTAACTGCTCCTAATTAAGCCAGTTAAACATTGTTAGATTGCAGAATACCCAGGTTGGTGCAGCTCGCCTGGACGGAGAAATTTGGTTCAGCTCTTAGCACCTCAGTTCTGCCCCAAAAGAAGAAGAACTTCCTGTGACCTTGCCCACTCCAGCCGCCTGCCTGAAATAATGACAGACCAGCTCTCACCCCAGCCTCCTGAGAAATCGTCCAAAGCCCCTTCATGCCACAGTAATTGAGCACCAGCAGGAGCCACCGACAGCCTGGCTGTTTCTTTTTTGCTAACAAGCTTACATGTAATAAAAATGGCCTTAGCTTGGGTTGGGGGGGGCGGTTATTAATTGCCCCACAACGATGCCTCCTTTTCTTTTGGCTTCCTTTGGCTGTTCTGGGATTTTTAAATTGTTCTTTCAAGGAGAGAATTTTAGGGACCTTGCTAGATGATTCTAGGGATTGGAAACTCAAAGGGCCCTTGTTATTGGCTGGTCTTTGGCTGTCAGCCCTCTCTGAACCATTAGACTGATGCTGGGGATTCCTGCCATCTGTCACCATGGGATTTCGGATGGCAAAAGAATGAGAATGTATCAAAGGGAGCAGCATCTCCATACTCTCCCAGTGCATGTCCCACATATCCAGCACAATCCATCACCCTCCAAATTAGGGGCTGGGGACGGTGGCCCACATGGGTCCAACACTGGAGCTCCAGGGCATGTCACCAAGGGAGAGGCTAAGGCCCCACTGGGGTCGCCAGGGCTAGGTTCCTAGGCATGGGTGGATTCTCATTGCTGCAACATCTGGGAAAGCCCCACAATGCAGAGTGTAGGCCCATCAAGGTCTCAGTGGGTCCTTGTTGAAGGAACAGATAGGACCAGGTCCACCCCAGTCAAATGGCCTGGGCAGAGGAGCCTGTGAGGACGTCTCAGCTTGAAGCTAGAAGGGCTTGGGTGATGAGAGTCCCCTAAATGAGTGGTTCTTAGTCCTGGCTGCACACGAGCATCATTGCTGAACTTCTAAAAGCTACTGATGCCTGAGCCCCAACCCAGACCAATTTAATCTGCATTTGTGGGACTGGGGCTTGGGTGTTGATATTTTTCCCAAGCTCTCCAGGTGATTTTACCATGTAACCAGATTTGAAAAGCACAGTTTCAGATGGATAAACTTTCAGGGATGAAAGGCTCTTCCCAGCCATCTCAGCAAAGCGCAGTAAATCCACACGAGCAGGAGGAGCAACACTTCGGGGCTGGGCACTTGGTTGGGGAATGTCACGGTGGTTGTCAGGCTTGTTCAAGGTTTATTCCTGATGGTCAGTGCTGGGCACCTTTCCTCCCACTTCAATTTTTTTTATTGTGGTAAAATATACATAACACAAAATTGACCGTCTTAACCTTATTTATTTATTTTTTTTGGTGAGAAAGATCAGCACTGAGCTAACATCTGATGCCAATCCTCCTCCTTTTGCCGAGGAAGATTGGCCCTGGGCTAACATCCGTGCCCATCTTCCTCTGCTTTATATGGGACGCCGCCACAGCATGGTTTGACAAGCAGTGTGTCAGTGCACATCCAGGATCCGAACAGGTGAACCCCGGGCCACCACCGTGGAGCACACGCACTTAACCGCTTGCGCCACCAGGCCGGCCCCGCATCTTAACCATTTTTAAGTGTACACTTCAGTGGTATTAAGTACATTCACATTGTTGTGCAGCCATCACCACCATCCATCTCCAGAGCTCTTTTCATCTTGAAAACTGAAACTCTGTACCCAGTAAACAACAACTCCCCATTCTACACTCCCTCCAGCCCCTGGCAACCACCATTCTACTTTCTGTATCTATGATTTTTACTACCTCATACAGGCGCCTCATGTAAGTGGAATCATACAGTATTTGTCTTTGTGTGACTGGCTTATTTCACTCAGCATGACGTCCTCAAAGTTGGTCCATGTCATAGCATATGTTAGGATTTCCTTCCTTTTTAAGGCTGAATAATATTCCATTGTATAGAAATACCACATTTTGCTTATCCATTCATCTGTCAATGAACACTTGGGTTGCTTCCACATTTGGCTATTGTGAATAATGCTTCTCTGAACATGGGTGTGCAAATATCTCTTCAAGATCCTGCTTTCAGTTCTTTTGGGTATATACCAGAAGTGGAATTGCTGGAGCACATGGTAATGGTATTTTTAATTTACTGAGGAACTGCCATACTGTTTTCCACAGCAGCTGCACCCTTTTACATTCCCACCAACAGTGCACAAGGGTTCCAGTTTCTCCACATCCTCACCAACACTTGCTTTCTGGTTTTTTTTGATAGTAGCCATCCTAACGGGTGTGAAGTGGTATCTCATTGTGGTTTTGATTTGCATTTCCCTAATGGTTAGTGATGTTGAGCATCTCATGTGCTTATTCGCCAATCATATATCTTCTTTGGAGAAATTTCTATTTAAAAGTCTTTTGCCTATCTTTAAATTAGGTTGTTTGGTTTTTTGTTGTTAGAGTTTAGGAGTTCTCTATATATTCTGAATGTTAATCCCAAGTATTTTCTCAGTGCTGGGGACCCTTTTAACCCGTCTTCAATATCAATAGATCAGAACTTGGAAAAGGTTGATGTAGTTCAAACGTTGCTAGGAGAACTGGAATTCTTGACAGACACATCTGGAAGTGACAAGGATTTGGTTACATATAACTCACAGTCAAGGAGGCTTCCATTTGGGGGCTGGCCATTTTAATATGGCGTATGAAGTAACTGTGGGTGGTAGCACAGAGCCAACCATGACCTTTCCCAATGGGCTGTGTTGAGCCAGGAAGTTGTTAAGGATGAGATAAAAAGATCCTGGAAGCGCTCCCAAAGCCAAGAAGAACCAGAGATGGCTAGATGGAGAGGATCTAGAGAGGATAGAGACTGAGGATCTTTTGGCAGCTAGTATTTCATTGGGGTCAAAAATGTTGTACTTGGGAACCTGTCTATGAACTTATAGTGTATAGACATTAGAAAATGTTTGTTATTATTTTGAGTAAAAGCATTACTTCTGAACCATGTCTTCCCCTGCCTGAGGTTCACCATCGTGGTGTTTGTCCTGGAGTGGGTACAAGCAGAGCGTCCCCACACTAGGTGGGGCGTGAGAATGAGGCCCAGTGGTGGAATCAGACCCACTTATAACCGTGTCTGAGGGGAGTACAGACAGGATGGCATCTCTCAGCTGAGCTCCTGGATCAATGCTGACGGGCTGGGCTGGAAGGAAATCCAGGAGGCCGAGTTGCAGCTTCTCTGTGGAAAGTCAAAACCAACCTATAAAGAGCACCCTGAGGTACCATCGTGCTGCCACATTTCAATTAAACCCTTGCATTGTCTCCTTGGAGAAATTCATTGCTTGAATGAAAGAAATTTTCATTCCTTATGCACTAAACACAGGTCTCCCCTCATCTCTCAGTGGCTCCTTGGTGCTTAGGGAATTCAATCAGAACCACCCCGTGCCTCTCCTCCCCACCCCTATAAAGCCCTAACCCTTGGTGCCCTCTGCTCCCCACCGTGGCTGCCTCGTCTTGGGCTGGAGAATGCTGCACCGCACAGCACGTCCCCCGCACCTGACTTTAGCTCCTGGAATCACTTCCTTCTTATTGAGACTGATTGACTTGCCCAGGGTCACAGTGTCAGTCGAGCCTAGCACCCACAGTCGAATCTGGAATACCTCATTTGTAGTCCACCAGAAACCTTACATGCAAAGGATTCCCGGAGGCTGGAGGTTCAGATCAGCACTTCCAGCTATTCTCACATCACGTGGGGTATAGCACGTGGGGTGATGAGGAGCTGCCCTTGGCTAGAAGTGACCCACAAAAGCCCATGCGTGGCTCAAGGCGTGGGATGCTCCACTGTAAGATGGCCTGGACCATTTCCTTTGCATTTGTGATGGGCTTGATCTCCCCACAGTCACTAATCTCCTTCGAGGCAGGAGAGTAATCCTGGCATGGTTTCCACCTGGGGTTTTCATAGGTGGGCAGGAGGGATGGACCAGCACCCACAGACAGCATCTATGTGGTGCTGTGGGCTTTATATTCAGTGTCAGGTCACCCAGCCAGCAGGCCCCATGAGCCACCTTCACTGTTGGTGCCAAATCCGTGTGCCAAGTAAATTTTTTACTTTGTGTTTATCTTTACATCAACTTAAAATCAATTCACTTTTTTATCTGGCCTTATCTTAGACTAAATATTATCTGGTAAATTATGATTTTGGTATGCTGGCAGATACTTGTTACTCTAATCTACATTAAAATATACACAAAACTATTAAAATGTTTTTAAACTTCTTTGAACTCAATTCCATCTAAAGTCCTCTGACAGCCACCAGAGGCATGAATAACACAGTTTGGGGAAAAGCATTGTTATTTTATTGAATCCTCATGAATCAATCAATCCTTATACACCTTCAGGGTAGAAGCATTAGTCCCATTTTCTGTTGGAGCAACTGAGGCTCAGAGAGTTTAGGTAGTAAGATCACACAGAGAGTGAGGCACAGGGCTGGGGTTTGAACCCAGAGCCCTGACTACTGAAGCCGCCCTCCTTCCTTCCCCTCTGCCAGGCAAGCGGAGGAGCCATTGTGGAATCACTGTGTCTCTCGTCACCCTGGCCCTCATTCCAGCCTTCTTTTCTTCTGCAGTCCACTCTGGGCTTTGTGGCCCTGGTGCTGAGCACGCTGCACACACTCACCTACGGCTGGACCCGCGCCTTCGAGGAGAGCCGCTACAAGTTCTACCTGCCTCCCACCTTCACACTCACGCTGCTGGTACCCTGCGTCATCATCCTGGCCAAAGGCCTGTTCCTCCTGCCCTGCTTGAGCCACAGACTCTCCAAGATCCGGAGGGGCTGGGAGAAGGACGGTGCCGTCAAGTTCACGCTGCCAATGGACCACGCCCTGGCCCAGAAGACGAGCCACGTGTGAGGCGTCTGCACCCGGCTCCAGAAACCAGACACAGGCAGGATGGTGCCCTGAGCCTGTCAGGGCTTCTTTTCTTGACCGTGCAGTATGATGAGATTGTGCACAAATTGGTGGTTTGAGGTCTGAATTCCTGGAACGCAAATGTATGTAGTAATATTCAGAGTGACACACACGTGTGTGTGATATATATGTTCATATATATTTCATATGTATAACAGGATTTGCAATTATATTTACTTAGCTAAAAAGTTGAGTCCCTGAGATTTCAACTTGTAGATTTAAAAGCAAGTGCCAGATGTTTGGAGAACAGCAGCTCACGCTGTTGTGACGTTTGCAGAGATATTCACACGCTTTTTGCACAGAAGAGGCAGTGAGAGGCTTGTTCCTTGGTGGAGTCGATCCATTTGTGCCCCCCAATCCCTCTTTGCTACTTTCCCAAGGCTTTTGCAGGGCTGGGGCTCTCAGGTGCCAGGGCAGACAGGAGCTCTGGGGCCCGATTTGGGTGTACAGGGCTGAAGAGTCACCAGTGAGCAGGGGCTGTGGCTCCTCCCTCGTCCATCTTCAGTGGCAGCAGGATGCCAGGCCAGGGAGCGAGGGCACTAGGGGCTGAGCCTGGTATCTGTGCCCTGAGAGCCAACTGAAGGTCTGTTCTTTGCCAGGCGGGGAGTGGGAGGGGTTGGGGTTGAAGCTGCTCCCCCTAATCCTCCCTGAGCTGGGGAGATTTTTTCCTGAAAGTCAGAAGTCACCACGGCAGCTGCAAATTGATCCTCCTGCAGGAGTGTGAAGTTACCTCCTTGCCAGAGCCGCTAATGAACCCCGTCTTGAGAACAAGTGTAATTTCTTTCCCTCCTTTAAGTTGGTGATGACCGTTCTTTCGACCACTGTGCCTTCTCACCTTTTAGATCATTAGTTTGACTGTCTTCCAGGAAGGCCTAGAGCAGACCCTCTAAAAGTCAGTTCAAGGGGGAGGGGAACGCAGAGCATGCTCAGTGTCACAGCTGAGCCTTTATCAGGACCATCCCCGGGGGGGCTGAAGGACTGATTGCCTTCATTAAATTGGTCCTGTGGAAAAACACTGGAGACCTCTTCAAATGTCCTCTGCTACCTCTCTGGGCAGAGAACCTGCCTCCCAAGCACCCAGAAAACCACACTGGCTCCAAGTTCCTCCTAACGGAGGGCTACGTTTCAAAATAGTCAGGAGAGTCTTTTCCGCCAAAGCTACAGACTCAAAACGCTGCTGCCCCAAAGCACAAGAGGCTGGACGACAGCCAGGGCCACAGGACGTGTGTCCTTGAATCATATGCCATCCTTCACTGATTCATCCTGAAACTGTTTTTACTTCCCCTGCGGAGAAACAGCTGTTCTCGGCTGAGCCCCCAACCCCTGGCAGAACCAGGGTGATCTGCCATCTCCACCAAAAAAGCCCCTTTGACCACAAAGCAGTGGAGGTCCTGATGGAAGACATCAGTCAGACGCACACTGACTCTACTGTGAATGGGGGCTGCTGGTCATGCTTATATTTCTTAGTTCTCCTGGGCCAGAGGGCATCTTAGGGTGGAACAAAGAGTCAGCCGGCAAAGGCTGACCAGATAGTGCTACAAGGAGAGGATGCCCCTGCTCCCCAAGGGAGGCTTCGTGAGCTCATGTCTGTGGAGCGCATTAGGGTCCTTTAGTGAAAAGGAAAAAAAAAACCAAGTGCAAGAATATCTCATTAAGCCAGTGACGGATGGAGGGGAGGCAGCGCAGGCAAAGCTGTCTGCTTCCTGCAGATGTTTTCCATCTGCTGCTCCAAGGCTGAGCAGCAGAGGCTTGTCTCCTAAATTGGCCCTGATGGAGCAGCAGCCTGGCCCTCAGAGAGGCTCGCTGAAAAGGAGGCAGGTGAAGCAGGTTTCAGCATTTGCTAGGCAAAAGGGGGGCCCATCGATTTCCTGCTGATAGGAAGCAGGGAGAACATGGGCAACTGGTACCCCCCCAAGGATCGCCAACCCTAGATGGTATCGGCTGCCTTCCTTCTCTGGCCCCCCCTGGGCCTGGAGATGGTTCCTCACACCAAAGATGCCGACACAGAGCAAAGTCCAGTATGCTCCCTCCGCTTCCCACCCACCTCCTGCTGCGGGTGCTCCTCAAGAGGGAAGGGATTCCAAGGTGGGTGACAGGACGGAACAGGTGCAGTAGAGGACCTGGCCACCCACCAACTGGACAATCAGCTCATGAAAGTCAGGGTGGGCTGTGTGCCTGACCTTGATCTTATGTCTGCTGCTGCCCTTCCCTACCTCACCAGGCAGCCGGCAACAGAATCCCCCAGAGAGCAAGTAAATTCCCTCAGAGCCTGGTAAATTCTCTGTGCCTCTGGGTACAAAAGTGCCTGAACCAACATGCTCTGGAAATCCTAAATGCCACGGTCTGAGGTTGACGTTTAAAGTCTATGCTATTGAAAGAGTCTGTGTATTTTGTTTTTACCTTGTAGAGCTTGTCTAAGAAGCAGCGAAAATAAACACCTAACCTTCAGTGAGTTTTAGGCTTTTATTTGTGTCCTGTCGATCACCTGCCCACTTTTTCGTTCATTGCCTCCATGAGCCTTCTGATTGGAGCTTGCTCTGAGTCAGGCAATAGAATGATCTGGGGTAGAGCACACCTCTAAGGAAGGGCAGACATGCAGACCTCCAGCGACAGGCCAGTAAGGACACAGGCGAGATCCAGGTGACAAAGTGCAGGGGGATGTGAAAGGAGCACCCAAGACCCACAGAGGGGTGGAGAAGGCTTCGTGAAGGGAGCGGTGTCGGCGCTGTGGTCTGAAGGCTGCGGCCCTGAGTGTAGCTAGAGCGGCAGGGCTTCTCAAACTGTAATGTGCAAGGGAGTCACGTAGAGATCTTGTTCAAACACAGGTTCCGATTCACGGGTCCACGTGAGGCCAGAGACTGTGCATTTCTACTAAGGTCCCAGGTGACATGGAAGTTGCTGATCCTCAGACATCCTTAGATGGCATCCTTTGTCTCTGCTATGCTGTAGTCTACAGCCCCCAAACCAACACACACAGATCTCTCTGCCCCATTAACCTTCCCCAGGCCCCTGGTCCCTGGCTGCCCTGGGGAGGTATGCCCCTGCATACTGCCAATGCTGCTGCATCCCCCTTGTTCTCTTAAAGGCAGAGGGAGGAAACACTCCACCAGAGCCACAGCCTTGCACTCTGTGTGCTCCGTACAGGATGCCCCCTGGGTGGTCCCATACATCAGGACCTGAGTCCATCGGGAAACAGGAACTCTATTCAGAGAACACCCACCTGTCATGCAGTCAAGCTCTTCCACTGAAGCAACCAGAATTGTCTAACTGTATAGGGAAGAAAAAAAGAAACCCATGTGCAGAAAGCAGGCTAGTGGCTAGAAACCATTTCTTGGGAACAATAACCAAAAGATGGCCTTGCCATTTTGAATCTGTGGTAAGGATTTTCCAAAGAAAGAACCATGGCCAGAAAACAACTTCACTACAAATAATTCTCAACAGAAACAAGTCTTGTGCTTGGAGGTTTGCTTTTCTACTGTGTCCTCCCACACACAACACTGGGAGAGTTAAGTTTAAAAAGAAATGGTAAAACAGATGAAAAATACCCACTATTCAGGCAGCTCACATAAGAACTGAGGAGCAACCAAAATCATATTAGTTAAAGAGAAGAATTATCATTCAGCTATTTGCAAGCTGACTCTCTTCCGAAAGCAATGAAGTGGGCCCTTGGAAGGGCAGAGGCTCCTTGCACTGGGTCACTTCCTGGTCTCCTTACAAAGAAAGTTGGCACCATTAGAGCAGACACTCTCAGTCCCACCAGACCAGCACCAACTTTTTCTAACAAATATGTCAAAAATCCCTTTTTACTAACCTGAAATGAAATTCAGAAATAATATAACCTACCTATGCACATAGTTTTTTAAATCAATTTAAGGTCTTAATTGAAATATAAAGTAGAAAGAAAGATATTTACACTAAAGCATATGTATAATACTAAAAATGAATAGTGATTATTAAAAATAATAATCTTACAATAAATGAGTTGGTTTTAAGAGAAATGCAATGATATTCAACTAGACATTGACCCTCTATAACTTATATTTTAAAATAAGGGCTAAAGAAGTGTGTGTGTCTGTGCACACACACGTGTGAGTGCCCGCATCTGCACACCGTGAGTGTTTGAAACGGTGAATACTGTGGAGAAGTCAAGTAGGGTGGAGACTGATAAATGTCCACTGGATTTGGAAATATTGGAAACTTTATGGTGAGAATTTCAATGGAGTGTTGGGAGTAAAATCAAGATTGGGAATGAGTGAGAAGTAAGGAAATGGAGACTAATTCTGGACAACTCTTGAGATCTGGCTGTGAAGTGGGGGAGAGAGAGGGTTGGTAATTAGAGAGCTATAAGGGGATAGGAGGAGGATTGGTTATTTTTTTCCATGGTTCTGCCCTAAACATGCATTAGATGTTTCTGGAAAAGAACAAGATGAACAGGAGTGGTTGAAGATGAAAGAGACAGAGAGAGAGAGGGAGAGGGGGAGAGAGAGAGAGAGATAAAGAGAATGGGAATTAAAGCCCTAGAGGATGTGGGAAGGGATGAGGTCCACAGCACAGGTGGCTTTAGTGAGGAGGAGGGGCAGCTTGTCTTTTAAAATTAGGAGCAAAGGATAGACGCCAATGAAGGGAGGGTTTAGCTTTGGTGATGTGAGGTGTGGAAGCTCTCTTCTGATGATGTCTACATCCTTTGTAAAAAAAATAGTCAACGTCAGGGCTGGCCTGGTGGCATAGTGGTTAGGTTCGCACACTCTGCTTTGGCGGCCCAGGGTTTGTGGGTTGAGATCCCGAGTGCGGACCTACACATTGCTCATCAAGCCATGCTGTGATGGCGCCCCGCGTGTAAAGTGGAGGAAGATTGGCACAGATGTTAGTTCAGGCACAATCTTCCACAAACAAAAAGAGGAGGATGGGCAACAGATGTGAGCTCAGGGCCAATCTTCCTCAAAAAAAAAAAAAAAGTCAATGCCATCTGCTGAGAGTGACAGAGAAGGGAGAAAGTTTGGCTCTGAGGGTGGAAAAGGGAGGAAAAGGTTAAAAATAATTGTTGGAGAAAGTCAAAAGGGAACTGACCAGAGAAACATGGTGGGGTTAACAACAACAACAAAAACTTGTTTATAACATTTTTTGTCCAGGGTGAAATATACTAATTGTGTTTCCTGGGACATGTACAAAGTGGAGTTTTTGTTCAGTTAAATTCTGTTTTCCCCCACCAATTTCTGTGATAATTCCAGATAGTTTATCTTAGTTCAGTTTGAACTCTAATAGTTACTCAGAATGCTTTGGCTTCATTTTTGTTTTCTCTGTTCA